TGGAACCGCCCCCCAGCGTCACAGCTGCAGGAGGGAGCGGGGAGGGCAGGTTCCAGCCTCTAATCCAAGCTCCTCGCCTAGGAGGGCAAATTCAAAGGCTCACAATGGGATCCGCAGCAGGCTGAGCTTCCCTGGGGGACATGCTCTGGAGACAGAGAGAGATCTGCTTGTGCGCAGTTCCGATTGCAAGCGCCTCTCATCAGCCCTTCCACAACCTCATATAAACCCCCACAGAAAAGATTTCTCTCCTTTGAAAACACCGACAAGACACCCTGCAAAGCCTGGGTGTGTAACACAGTACAGTCACGTGAGCCTACAACAGCAAGAGCAGAAGCTCTGGGAGCAGCCCTGAAGAGGGGTTTGACGGTGACTGCTAAGCCCATTTTGCTGCAGACCATCTAAAACACAAGCACTTGCCCTAAAATATTAATGCTGGAAATTGCTGCTGCCCAGTTCTTACAAACTAACGGATCCCAGGCTCTGTGAGGGCTGGGGAAGGGCCTTCAGACAAGGACAGGAGGATTTTTCAAACAATATATTAATGTGCTGCTAGAGGCTTTCTTCAGGGAATGTTCAACATATGGATGACATGCATTGGAGCAGGACCTGACCTCATTCCTTCCATTAATCACTCCAAGAATCAGAAGCTTGCAAACCCATTCATGGGTTAAAATGGAAGCTCTGCTCAGGGGAGTTGTGGCACCAGGCATACCAGCGGCCCCAGAAGGGATGTTATTTTTGGCAGCTATTGCAAGCAGGTTTTGCTCAAAACTAAGCTAGCAAAAGCAGCTTAGTGCAGCTGTGCAATCCATGATCCCACATGCTTTTGGACTTTATTCCTGTTGTTTCTCACCTCCTCAGAGCCTGAGAGCAAAGGGGGCAGACTCTCAGCCACAGTTTCTGCAATGGGTGTGAGGGGGCTGGCTGTGCAGGTTGACAGGAAACCACATGCTGGACAAGCTCTTTGGAGGCAGCCTTAGAACCAGATTCTTTATATTTGTGTCGAGGAATCTCTGCACAAGCTGCTGCACCCGCAGATCCAACAGCAGGGACAATACCTTGTGACACCTACACTGGGACACTCCTCATTTTTATCTCCCTCTGAGCACACAGGAAGAAATTCTCCTTCTTCAGGTCAATATGGAAATACCACCTGGACTAGGATGTTTCACTCAGCCATTGAGCTTCAGTGTCCCCCTTGGCTGAAGAAGAGCTTATCTCCAGTGCTGTTCGCAAGGGAAGGAGCTGAGGTTTGCTTCCCGTCGCTCCCGTGCTCACCACTTGAAGAAGACCAGACCAGCCAGAGCCATGTAGCCCAGCACCAGGAAGAGAACCTTCAAGAGACGGTCATTCTTGTCGTCCAACTCCTTCGCAAGGACCTCAAAGAAGGTGATGAACAAGAAAGTGCCCCCCGCGATGCCTTGCAGGAGCAGGGAAGTGATCTTGCTGGCTGCATTTTGGGTGCTCTCAATCCCCATCCCAATGCTAATGCCCAGAGGGATCATCAAGCTCACTGTCACAGCTATCTTCACGGCATCCTTCAGCGGCAATGAGGTCTTGGCCATGCTGATGCCCAACGCCACCGCTACCAGTGTCTCATGAACGGCAACTCCCAGGAACAAGCTCATGACTTTGCCTCCTTCCTCCTGCAAACCCAGGGCCAGTCCCTCGAAGATGGAGTGCGTACATAAAGCAAAGACCAGCCCAATGAGCCGTAAGGGACTGGAGCGGGAGAGCTCCTGGATGTTCAGGCCGTGGCTGTGGGAGTGGTGACCGTGTTCACTGTACAACGCATGTCCTCGGGAAGGTGCGATGAAGGGACTCTCGTATTCGGAGTCACTCCCAACATCTGAACCAGCATTGAATGTCTCTAAGTCAATGAAGGATGGCTTTTCCTTCTGGAAGGTCAAGATGAGCTGCTCCACAAAGACCGTCACAAAGAAGCCGACCATCATGATGGTCTCAGCCACCGGGTAGTCCGTGGTCACGTTCCCTTGCTTGAGAACTTCATCGAGCTGGAACCAAGCAAACAACCCACAACTCACCTTTGTCCCTCTAAAGGGAAATATTCCTATTGTGTTCACACAACTCTAAATGGACACTAAATTGACCTGTGATGCTTTAATACCCTTGTAAACAGGCCTCGGTATAAGAGACAGGGAACCTATTTGTCTTCCCATGGAAGGTTCGCAGCTGTCTGAAAGTGTTTTAAACACACACTAAATGGCAGGAGCTTTGAGCCTCACACTCCAGGTCCAGTGGCCTGGGCTCCTGCAGGGCAGGAGCGGGGAGGGTAGTCCCCCTGGACAGAGGTCCCTAACACACTCAGTGGCACAGGTTCATTAATTCATTACCTTTTCTCTCACGGCAGGCAGCAAGGCGTTGAAGCAGGTGGCCAGGAAGACTCCTCCTCCAAAAGAATTGCAGAGGGCAAGGACCTTCTTGGAGCGATGAGCTTTCTCATAATCAGCCTCAATTATCTTGACAGGGAGGAGGGACCCAGCCAGCATGAGGACGCAGATGCCCAGCAGACACAGCACTTTGGCAACCACGATCTTCATCGTCCCTCCTGGGGAAGGCTCCCCGCCAAGGACCCTGCGGACAGCAGCTGGTGGAGGTCCCTCAGCTGCTGTTAGAGCGGGCACATCAGCACGTGACAGCACGGACAGGCCTCAAGGGAAAGGCGCTCCCAGGCTCTGTAGCTGTGGACAGGAGTAAAACAAGGGAGATTTTCCCATATAAGCATACGCTGCGTAGAACAGCACCTTGCATCCCTCAGTGCATGCCAGTCTCTGTATAGCAATTGCCTTGGCTCCCCAGAGGCAATGAGTGGAGGTGACAGTGGCAGCACCTCGCACCAATGGGGTAGAGGAACAGCAGAGAAGAGAAAATTTAACTGCAGCAACCAGTAACTTAACCTGGTAAGAATTGTACTGGCCACACAGAAGAACTGGCACAGCCTGGTTTTAGAGGCTCCATTTGAAACACCTACACAGTGACAGACACAAACCACTTGATCTTGCAATAAGATCCACTCAAGTTCAATCAAAGGATCAAAGCTTTGCTTTTTAACCATGAGAAAAGAATATGGACTTGAGCTGGTGGCGTTTGTCACCCAGAGATGAACTTAAAGATCTCCCTTCAACATTCAGACAGGTGTTTTTTTGTACTGCCCTTGAAACAAGACTATCAGATTCATTCTTGCTTGGTTTCCTGAGCCACTGTCACCATCTCACTACGGTGGGTCGCAGCCCATAGTCGGTGGTTTGCTCTGTCCCAGGAGTCAGTGGAAGTTTCAACTGCCAATCGATATGCATGTCTCTAAAGGGAAACCCTACAGAGAAATTCACTGCAAGGCTCTTTATTGTCCTTGGGGTGTAACAAAAGAGGAGGCAGAGGTTGTTTCATACAAGAGGAAAATACAAGGTTTGGGTTGCCAAGGTCATGAGAATTGACTTAATTTGAAATATAAAAATATTTCCATCCAGGTTACCTGCAGCAGCAGTGAAACTTGTTTTCCTAAAATCACTGTACAAAACAACAATGTTAAATCTATTTCTAAATATACATAAACATGAACAGGTCCCTCTACTGCTGCTCGTTCTTGCAGCAGCACAGCCAGCACCCCAGAGGATTTCACTTACCACCTGTACTGGATTGACTTGTGAAGTCAACTCAGTGGCACCTTGAGAGGGTTCTCTTCCAGGTCACCCAGGTAAGGGCTGCCAGCCAGCCTTGAGCACTGACAAGATGCTGCAGCATGTATCAGGGTAACGAACTAACACCGAACACTTCCAGCCACGCTGACACCTGTACCCCTGATGGACAAGGTAAATAATTGGATACCTGCTTGCTGGAGCAGCAAATTAATTTTAATACAAAAGATTCCCAAGGCTAAAGTCTCCCTTGAGGGCTGACAGTATTAATCACTATCACAGCTTCTGCGCAGCAGGCTGCATAAATGGTGCTTTCATTAAAAGCAAAGTGGAGACTGAATGACTCTGTACTTGGTGTGGGAGTTCAAAGCCTCTTTCCAAGTTTGCAGTTTGAGCAGGAGCGAACAGAGAGGGGTGACAGCAGTCAGGCCATCTGCGGCAGCTCTGGTTCTCAGTTGGGTATCCATGGGAAGCGACATTTGTCAGAAGAAAACCCTGCTCAGATGACACCAATTGACTCACTCCCTGGTGAACCCTGCAGACGAGCCAGGTCTGAACAAGTCCAGACCCTGAAATCTCAGTGTATGCTGACAGAATTTCCACAGCAGACAGCCTGTTGCTGTGGCTGACAAGCAAGGCTCCCTCTCCAGAAATGTTGACTCCAGAACTGCCAATGCTCATCAGCGCTGTATTGACATGGCTAACGAGTCACACTGCCTGCGTAAAGCACGCGCTGCAGTTTCAGCGCCAACAGAATGACAAGGATTTCACCTCACACGGTGACGACATGTTGTTATGCCAAGCTTCTCAAATGAACTCGCTCAGAAAACGATGTTAGCAACGATGCCTTGGGATCACGGATCACAAGAGCTTGCGACTGCACCTGCTCAGTGCGGAGGCACCACCCACACTGGCTCAGTTAGGCAGGCATAGAGCTCCCAGGATTGAGGACAGAAGAAAAAAAAAAACCCTTTTCCAGAATCCACACCTCCTCTGGAACAATACCTAGCTTCCATTCAGAAATTCAGAAGTCCCCTAACCTAAAATTTTTTTGCTTTCTTTTACTTTTTTTTTAACCCAGCAACAGCCCCCAGCAGAGCATAAAGCCTCAAGCTCCTGACAGCAGGTGGAGCAGCCACCCTGCAGTGCCCCCTGACCTGGGGCGGAAAGCAGCTTAGTGACAAACCAAGCTGTAAATACAAGAAATACCTTGTGTTGCTCTTTCCAACAGCCCAGCACTCAGGAGCCGGTGCCGCCAGCATCAGGGTTATTTCATCAGCCTGAACACTTCTGTAACAAAGAATTAACTCAGGACAGGTACTGCTTGGCTTAGACAGCTGTCCGCTTTATCTAATAGTCACTGTGGAAGAAAGTGTTTCTTTATGCGCGATCCTTTAAATCTCAGTTTTTCTGTTAAAAACATACAGATGATGCCCCCAATACACCGAAGACAGCACGGTGCTGAAACTAGGCTGGATTCCCCCCCCCAAGCTGCCCTTGTCCCAGTGCCTCCCAATATCTGAAGGCACTTGAAATCACTCTGGTCACTGAGGAAAGGGGTGCTGGGTGGGGGGCTCCTCCTAGGCCAGGCCTAAACCTGCTTGAGCACCCCAAAAGGGTGCGGAAATA